CAATCCACAGCTAAAATTACTTTACCTGTATGTTCAAATGTTTCTGATGATGTGATACATGATAAATTGAAACCCCCAAAATTGGTAAATTCTTCCTTTTTAGATCATCTAAATGACCACCTTATGCATTTGTCCACAAAGGAAAGCCATAAATTGTCTCAGTTATTTGAGACATTTCCCTCTATTTTTGGGGATGTCCCCAAAGAAGCGAAGGTACCACCTCATGATGTAGACGTAGGTGATGCAAAACCCATCAAACAACACCCCTATAGAGTTAACCCGGAAAAAGCTGTTTTGATAAAAGATGAAATTGATTATATGCTCAGGAATGATATCATTGAACCCAGTTTCGGCAACTGGAGTTCCCCATGTCTTTTAGTCCCGAAAGACGGTGGATCTTTCAGGTTTGTGACCGACTTTAGGAAGGTAAATGCGCTCACCAAAGCTGATTCCTATCCATTACCTCGAATAGAAGACGTTATTGATAAAGTTGGTCAAGCTAAGATAATTTCCAAAATTGATTTACTTTCAGGATACTGGCAAATCCCCTTATCTGACCGTGCAAAAGAAATATCTGCTTTTGTAACCCCTAATGGTTTTTATAGATACAAACGTATGCCCTTTGGTATGCGAAATTCTGGTCAAACTTTCCAGCGGGTCATTAACTCTGTCATTGCTGACATAGACCAATGTGAGGCCTACATAGATGATATAGTTGTATTTTCTAATACTTTTGAAGAACATATTGTTCAGTTGACTAACCTTTTTAGAAAATTGTCTGAAGTTAATTTTACTGTAAACCTGCATAAAAGTGATTTCTGTAAAGGTTCAATTACCTATTTGGGTTATCAAGTGGAAACGAACCAAGTTAGGCCCATTGAAGCTAAAGTAGATGCTATTGTAAAGTTGCCTCCTCCCAAAAATTGTAAAGAAATCAAAAAGTTCCTTGGGATGGCTGGTTACTATAGGCGGTTCTGTCAAAACTTTTCAGCTGTTGCTGAACCTCTTACTGCATTATTGAAAAAGGGTGTTGAGTTTGAATGGTCAAATAAATGTCATGAAGCTTTTTTAACCCTTAAGTCATTTTTATCTAATGCTCCTGTTATGGCTGCACCAGATTTCAGCAAGCCCTTTAAACTTGCCATTGATGCTAGCAACTTAGCCATTGGCTCAGTCTTATTTCAAGAAGACAACATGGGGATTGACCATCCAATTGCTTTTTTTTCCAGGAAGTTAAATGAGAACCAAAAGAATTACTCTACTATTGAAAAAGAAGCTTTAGCTTTGGTTTTGTCCTTACAACATTTTGAAGTCTATGTCACTTCTTCAACCAATCCAGTCAGAGTGTTTTCTGACCATGATCCCCTGAAATTTACCTCTAAGTTAGGACAAAAGAATCACAGAATATTGAGATGGTGTTTATATTTCCAAAATTTTAATCTGGAAATTTCCCACATTAAGGGTATTGATAATGTTGTGGCTGATTGTTTGTCAAGGCTGTAAAATCTTATTACACACATTGATCATGTGACATGTTTTGTGGTTCATTAGGACCATACACAAGTGTTTTGTTTAGGTGACGCTCACATGAAAGTGAGTGGTATGAGTTTTGAATTTTTTTCAAAATGACAATCATGTTGCATATTTTGTTTATTTTTAGATGAACCTTAATTAAAGGTGGTTTTTGATTATATGTAATCTTTTATGATAATATGTCTCATATGACTCAGTTGATATTGTAGCTAGTCATTGAAATAAAGGTTTTACCCTGTCGGGTTTACCACTTTTAATATCCACATGGAAATATTGTAATACCCCTTTCTGAGGGATTACGATGTCTTATTATTTTTTGAAAGGGTTACTCCCCTTTCACAAATTGTAAAAGTTTGAGTTACTTCCCTTTTGTTTCCAGGGATGTTTTTCATCTGGTATTAAGATTTTGATTGACTACATTTGTAAAACATTTTTTTTATTTCATTGCCAGATTGGTTCCTTATGTATGTTTTTGTGGAACCTATCTGTCACTTCCAAAAAGGGAGGGGATGTGACCTACTTAGGTCTCGTCATGTTTTACTTTGACATTGTATTAATACCATATATGGATTGATGGTGCAACAACCGGGTTTTTTCCACTGTCTTATTAAGAGTGTCTAAGACTCAGAAATTTTCCATCAAGATCTGATTGATTGATTCAGATCAGATGACCACCCCAACCAATGGCTACATTAGTTGAGGATAACCTCCCCTGTTGCCTAAGTCTATAACTAGATCGCCCACAGGCAGCACAAGGCAGTCCATTCTGACCGGCAGTCCATCTTGACCAGGCCGTCCATTTTGTCCGGCAGTAGATTCTGACCATTTGAACGTGAGAGAACTTAAGTCCTGAGTGTGCTATGCATTCCTAAGTTGTTAAAGTGTTCTAATATTATATTACTTGTCGCCAAGTGATTTCTTGATGCTATAGCAGTGTTATGTGACCTGTGGCTATTTTTATACAGTGTTAGAATCTGTGATAGTATTTTTTCTTACGCTTTGTAAGTTGGGTTTTGTTATTTTCTAAACTAAATATTTTATCTTGTTTAACCTTGTGTTCTGCCACAACTGTGTTCGCTTATTAAAGGTTGTATGCAGATTGAATGAGTTGTTAACTTCAATAGTATCACTAGTTTTCCCTAGACATCGAAATCGAGCCCTAGTGTGTTGTTGAGTTAGTGTTCATTCATTTAGGCTTTAAGTCATTTGCATATAACCCCAAGAAAGAATCCGGGGGCGTTCACCATCTATCTGGCTGGTAGATAGGTGTCCGTTACAGTAGCATTTAATAGAATGCTCCAAAGTCCACGGTTTTCGTCGTGTTTTTTTTTTAATACCAATATTAAATTACCGTGAAATGGTAAGTTCATCTGACTTGCTGCCTTCAACTCATGGCAACAATAGTTATGTTTAGTTCAACCACCTTTACTGCCCACATTTATCATTACATAACAAAACATAGGATCAAAACAGAAAGCCGACAAGGTTCAAAGGCTGTCATTGACGCGTAACGTCAACAACACAAAATATATTCGGACAATGCCTACTGAGGAGAGGCCGACCAGAGAATAGCCTACGGCAAAATTTGCCTAAATTTCTTTTATAATTAACTTTTCTACCGCGTATTTAACTAAATACGTAACAAGTTGAGATTGTTGTGTATTTTTACTTACAATTGTTATAAATCATAATGCTTTTAACGTCTATAAATAATTTATGCTATCAAAAAATACAACCCACAACAATAAACATACAAAATATAACAATTCTTAACAAATTAATAAAAAGATTTATAAAAAGATTTTTGTGACTTTTTTTCTGTGACTTTATTTCTGTGACTTTTTTTCCGATAAAGTTTTTCCACTGTGACTTTTTTTCTGTGACTTTTTTTCCTAGCAAAAACTGACTTTTTTCTGTGTTTTCTTTTCCTGTGACTTTTTTTCCGTTCACCCCTCCCACAGCCGCCCCCTTCCCCTCTCAGACTCTACACACCAGTCAGAACAAACCATCCCGCCTACAAGACTACCAGACGTGACCTACTTGTGAATCACATACCACCAGCCATACATCGTCACGCTTCAATGACTTTCTATTTATAACCCTCATGGCCACGGATGAAAAACTCGTTCTATTTTTAGACCAAAGAGTTAGTACGGGGCATTTTATAATACAGTAAGACCCTGTTGTATGGTCTCGATTCTCGATACGTAGAATAATCAAATTAGTTGTGGTTTTTTTTTTAAAGCGAGTCGAAGATAGATATAATAACAGCACAAAAAGTGTGTTAGATTGTTAATAATAATATTTAAGAAAGCAGAATAACATCAACACTTTTAAATTAGTGGAATTTAGATGATAAGAGCTCGATTTGTTTATGGATTGTTGTTAGTTCATGAAAAAGGTTTCATTTACACTTATAACAGAGGTTATAATGGTAGATGAGGTATGTGGTTGGTGGGTTGGACAAAATGGTTACGCCTATGCCAGGGGTCGGCAACCTTTTGAAGCGGAAGAGCCAAAAGTTACAATTTTCAAAATTTCACTGGTTTTAAAGAGCCACTAACATTTTTTTTATTTCAAATATTTTATTTTTTTATTAAGATTATTAGTATTTGTTCAAGGAGCTGGAGAGCCGCATCTTGATATCAAAGAGCCGCATGCGGCTCGCGAGCCGCAGGTTGCCGACCCCTGGCCTATGCCAATAGTCGTCATACGATTCATTTGTCTGGAGCCAATATGTCGTGAGTCCATTAGTATGTAGCCCATTTGACGGGAGCACTTTTGACGGGGCTATTTTAACTGGGTCGTTTTATTCTGGGCCGATTTGTCGCGGTAGTTTTGACGGTAAAAAGTGTAGGCGATTTAATGTTCGACCAACGGTTTTTAATAAAGAAATCAGTCTCATTTTCCTTATTTTCAAGGCATTTAAAATGCTTATTATTATAAAAGCTTTAATATTTTAATACTTTTTTAAAAAATTTATGTTAAGCAATTTTTTTTTAAAGTTTAAATGATAAATCGGTATTTCAGTTTTTTTTCCTTAAAAATACTACTTAATGACTAAAAAAAATTTATTGACTGGCCATCATAACTCTGAATGCCAATGACCAACGGTAGTTAAGGTACGTAGTCGGCTATCCCGAGTGAAAACAGTTGTGGACAGCAGTTCATCTGTCTGATTGAGCGATCGCTAGATTTTAATCCTGGTATCTCCATTTATCTTATTGAATATATTAATAAAAAAATAATAACTAATTTATTATCTAACTAAATAAAAAAATTAAATATTCTTGCATTGTCTTCGGAGACGAATTTGTCTGGAAAGATTGGGCTAAATCGCTGTATAAACGCGGTTCAAAATTGAAAACAAGTTTTTCCACAGACATGAAGACAGAGAGACGTTCTAAACTAAATAAAGCATATAACTTTGGGAAAAAAAAATTCATTTGAGTGTCACCCTAACTGACCTTGCTGACTTCTGCTGTTTCAGCCGCTTCCGGTTTAACCCTCGGCTCCCTGGGACTAGCGCCCCGCCGGGCGTATTCGTTGATGATACACCTCATGCGGGGTCCCCTGCTGATGAAAGCCGTGGCCTCCGCCTCTGGTTTGACTCGATAGGGTGCCGTCTCTGGGCGAGGTGTCGCTGCCCCTGTGCAGATACAACAACAAAATACTTTCAAGAACGGTGGTAGCACCTGCACATTTGTTTTACACTAGTTATATACCAAGATGTGGAGACGTGACCTGGAAGAAGACACCAAGAAGATTGGATACACCTGGGGACAGTTGGAGAGACTAGCCCTGGACAAAGACGCCTGGAAAGTTCTTGTCAACGGCCTATGTCCTATTAGGGACGACAGGCAAACCTAACCTAACCACATACCAAACCAAAATGTATTTGGTACTTGCAACCCAAAAGCCATATAACTCACCATAACCCCTATATGTAGCCCTAATTTTGAAATTTAAATTCTAACCTCACCTTTTCAACGATACAGACAAAAAATCCCATTTCCATGTCTTAAGTGAGTTTTTTAAGTGCTAAAAACATCTAATATATCATTCACTGTTTAATGCAATGTTATTTTGTTAATAATCGACAGCTGTAGAGACGGCGTGGTCGAATGATAGAGGGTATGTATCTCTGGTTCGGACTTGGGATTGTAAAACGTCCAGCCAGCTGTGATGGCATAGTGCCGACCACACTGTACCTTCCTATTGTGAGGTCAAGCAGAGGTGTAGCGAGGGGGGGGGGGGGGGGGGGGGGCAGGGGGTGCGGACCGCACCGGGTGACACCATTCAGGGGTGTGACACCAAGGCTAAAAATATAAAAATATATAGAGACATATTTGAGGGGGGGGGGTGCAAATCGAAAGTTTGAGCGGGGTGCAATTCGAAATTTTGAGGAGGGGGGTGCAAATCAAAAGTTTGAGGTGGGGGGGGGGGGGCAAATCGAAAATTTGAAAGTTTGTCCCCGGGAAGGGTCGCTACGCCTCAGGGGGTGTGACACCATTAAGTGCCGCACCGGGTGACACCCGACCTCGCTACGCCACTGAGGTCAAGAAACATGAACTCTACTTTATCTGCCCAATGGAGGGCAGATACATCTTTACTTTTTTTTTACTTTTTATAGACAAAAATACATACTATTATTTCTGTTATTGCTACCTTTGTCATTACTACTTGAGTTTTTTTTTTTATCATAATTTTAAAACATGAATGAGTATTATCAATTCACCGACTCACCTTTCAACAAAGGTGAGACGTTGCCATACCAGCCCAGCTTATAATTCTCTCTGGAACAGGAAGTTGGGCATCTAGGACTGGGCTTGGGGGTTCTGACCAGGGGCGCCGTGTCATCAAACACCCGCTCTTTGACCGTGCCCTGTCCCTTGATGTAGTTGGGTTCACCCTCGGCCTTGACCCTGGGTCCGCCCCTGGGACTGGGGGTAGCCCCGTGACCAGGGTACGCCGGTACTTTAGCTAGTATCGTCATGGTGGTACTTGGACAGCAACTTGGATTGGAATATTCAAAGAAAAAAATAACGATTAGCATTAACAATACATTAAAATTTATAAGCTAATTTATTTTTTTAAAAAGGGGATTAACCGTGAATATAGGCTTATATCTAAATCATGGTTTGTTTCCCCTTTAACGTCGATAAGTCAAAACAGGACTAATTTGCATTTTGAACCTGACGGTCCATGGGGCAAGTGAAGTAAAGTTCACCTTTTTCTGTGACCTCAGCATATGAAATGATAGTGTGGTCAGCACTATGCGAAGCCGCTTTTACTTTCTCTAAAGTGAGTCAAGAACCCGTCAGAGCTGGGTGGAATCATTCTACGGACTTGAACCCGGATTCTAATTCGAGACTCTGGAGTTTTCGGTCCACCGAAAACAGGACTAGATCACTAGAGCTATAAATATCTTAAAATTTGATTATAGGGTCTTTGCATTACGTTTTAAAAATCAATTATTCACGGGTACCTTGATATTTTACCTTCGTATCAGTACCGTAGTCTATGGCTTAGGGGTCGTCCATAAATGACGTCACACTCGAAGGGGGAGTCCGTAATTTTGTGACGGTGTGTGATGAGGGTGAGGAGGGGTTCAGGTGGTGTGACGTCACCTTTTTGCATTATAAAAAAAATGTTAGAAAACGAATTTTAGCCGTTATTTCGCGTTTTAGATAATCGTTATAGGAATTGATCAAAATACTCTATGTTGACAGAGTTCTGACAAGATTTTGTAAAAATATCAATGTTTTAAGAAACATTCAACAACAATTTTGAGGGGGGGGGGGGGTTGTAGGCTGAGGTGTGACGTCATTTTAGGAAAGGGGGTCTGGCTTTTTGTGACGACGTGTGACGGAGGGGTGGGGGGAGGTACGAATCGTCAAAAAAAGCGTGACGTCATGTATGGATGACCCCTTAGATAAATAGGAGATCAGGCAAATACAGACAACAGGAAAATAAAGACATCCGGCAAATACAGATATCAGGCAAGTATAGACACCAGGCAAGACATCTGGCAAGACATCAGGCAAGTAGAAACATCAGGCAAGATATTAGGCAAGTACAGACTTCAGGCAAATACAGACATCAGGCAAGACATCAGGCAAGACATCTGGCAAGACATCAGGCAAGTAGAAACATCTTGCAAGACATCAGGCAAACACAGACATCAGGATGACAATGATAACATAGCAATAAGACAACAAAATGGTCGATGATTAACAATAACACAATGTCCTCCTCTAAACCCTCCTTGTCTTTATATGCCCTCTCATCTCCAAGTCCTACCCAATATGTTACTTCACTCCCAATGGTTACTATGCTACGTAAGCGTACTATTCATGATGTTTCATACTAAATATATAACAAAAACAAGCTATAGCTAAAGTTTAATTAATCAATGTAGACAAAAGGGATGCTACTCTACCCCTAATATTACTGTTTACATCCGCTATATTATAGAAATGTATCTAACCCATTCATAACACTAATATGGGTATTTGTTTATTTTAAATTTTTCTTATTCTCAAAAATACGTAGCAATAATTCAGGAAAAGAAAATGAATATTTTAAAACTATTAATTAAAGGGACATACACTCATAACAGCTTCTTCTACCGATACTATATTAAAAATGTGTATTTAATTAATAGTATTATCTTCTATACTTCTACTAGGCATGCTGCCCAGCTTCGCTTAGGCTTTCGAAAACATTGAGAATTTGAATGCTTAATTAATTCGCCTGAGGGTCGGTCTACGACCTCAAGAGTTATGAAGAGGTTCCTCCGTGGACATTTTTTTTCGATTTATAGCTCATATAAGGCACCGGTCAGTCGAGGTCAGTTTTGACCCCCTCATCGTAGACCCTTCGGCCAACCGGCCCCCGTGTTCTGTCGCCCCAAGGCAAGATCCTGCCAAATTTGAAGCGCCTGCGGCGCCGGGAAGTGCCCTATCGGACACCCGACAATCTAGATCTAGAATCCTAATAGAATTTTTTTTTAAGTTTAGCCCGAGCATAATAAAAAAAATACATTAACCAAGTTGACTTGGTGTGTCTCGAACCCGCACCACCTGCGTGGTTTATAGTACACTAACATCTCCGCTACTTAGGCACCTAATAAAATTCGGAGAGTGAAACACGTATTTTAAAATCTTAACTTACGCGAATATGCCTATTCTTTCAAATTAATTTTTTTATCCCAAATTAGCCAGTTCCAAACAAAGATTTTGTATGAAATAAATAAGTCTTGAAATAGTTTAGTCCTAATATAGAAATTTATTTTTGGAATAGATTTTAGAGAAGTTAGAGTCTAAATCTAGATCTTAGCGTCTACGTCTATTTATTGCGTAGATTTAGATTTAGTCTAGATCTAGAATCTCTAGATCTAGAATCCAAATAAATAAAATAAATTTTATGAGTTTAGGCCGGAAAAATTGTATTTTATACATTTCATAGTGTTCGTAGATCTAAATCAAATTTGAATGAAATAGTTCATTTCTTTTTATTGTTAACACGGCAGATGACGTCATTAGTTAATGTATAAACATTAGTGACGTCACAGTTTTATGCGTTCTTTTTCACATCTATTAATGCTTTTCCGGTTGCATAAATAATACTGTTTCTCTTCATTCGAATACGCCTTTATTTAAAACATCTAACATATTATTTTCAACAAAAGTCCGTATAAAATTCTCCATATATCGCTGCCGTTTCTGACGTGATGTCCGGCGAAAATATTTTGCGGACAGAGAGAAGTGCGCACATGGGGAATTATATATTAGGATAGATGCAAAAAATACCCAATTAATCATATATAAAATTATATATATATATATATATATATATATATATATATATATATATATATATATATATATATAATATATATAACTACACATTTGCATTTTCAAGTTTAAAAAAAATGTAATTAGACGTTTTGTTTTAGATCTTTGTATAAGACAACCATCTTACATGAATGAAAGTAGGCTACATGTAAGAAAGAAATATTACTATTGTAAATGTGTATCAGTCCTCACAAGCCGAAGATGAAAGCTGTAATACTAAAACAAACATACAACGCAAACTGACAAGGCATGTCTGAGGCGCGAACAAACAAAATATTAAATATTATCCATCTTACAAGTATATCTATCCAAATACAAAAATGTTTAATAACAAATCAGCTTTTTAAAACGTTTTTTTTTTAAATTAACAAATCATATTAACACTATAGAACAATAGCTCGATATCTGTCTTCCCCGACGTCGCTAATTCCATAAAAACAAAATACTTAAAATACAACCGTGTTTTTATTACACTTTAAACATAAAACCAGTAAACAACATACAATAGTTTTTTTTTTTAATAATCACGTACCTTTCTATGACAGGAACAAGACCCACTTCTAGTTTTAAAGTACCAAGAAAGTGATTGCTTTCATGGCTTAATCTAGGTAACAGTGGCCGAGGTTGTGGCTGTGTTATTCGCACACTGTGGGCGTGCCAAAGGCGGATTTTGTTTCGTGTAGGGGTTGGGTATCATTATATGGTGTATGGCAGTTAGGTGTCGTATGGTGTATGGTACTTGGTTATCTTATGTCATATGGCATTTGTATGTCATGTAGTGTATGGTACTTGGCTATTTTGTCATATGGCATTTGGATGTCATGTGGTGTATGGCAGTTAGGTGTCATGTGGTATATGGTACTTGGTTATCTTAGGTTGTGTGGTGGCATTTGGGTGTCATGTGGTATATGGTACTTGGTTATCTTAGGTTGTGTGGTGGCATTTGAGTGTCATGTGGTATATGGTATTTGGTTATCTTATGTTGTGTGGTGGCATTTGGGTGTCATGTGGTATATGGTACTTGGTTATCTTAGGTTGTGTGGTGGCATTTGGGTGTCATGTGGTATATGGTACTTGGTTATCTTAGGTTGTGTGGTGGCATTTGGGTGTCATGTGGTATATGGTACTTGGTTATCTTATGTTGTGTGGTGGCATTTGGGTGTCATGTGGTATATGGTACTTGGTTATCTTAGGTTGTGTGATGGCATTTGGGTGTCATGTGGTATATGGTACTTGGTTATCTTATGTTGTGTGGTGGCATTTGGGTGTCATGTGGTATATGGTACTTGGTTATCTTAGGTTGTGTGGTGGCATTTGGGTGTCATGTGGTATATGGTACTTGGTTATCTTAGGTTGTGTGGTGGCATTTGGGTGTCATGTGGTATATGGTACTTGGTTATCTTATGTTGTGTGGTGGCATTTGGGTGTCATGTGGTATATGGTACTTGGTTATCTTAGGTTGTGTGGTGGCATTTGGGTGTCATGTGGTATATGGTACTTGGTTATCTTATGTTGTGTGGTGGCATTTGGGTGTCATGTGGTATATGGTACTTGGTTATCTTAGGTTGTATGGCATTTTGGTGTCTAGTGGTGTATGGTACTTGGTTATCTTATGTTGTATGGCATTTGGGTGTCTAGTGGTGTATGAGAGTTGAATGACAGGTGTTGTATGAAACTTCGATGTCGAATTGTATGGCAGTTTAATATAATGTGATGTATGACATTTGGATGTCATGCGGTGTATGACATTTGGATGTCATGTGTTGCATGGCACTTGAATGTCATGTATTTCATGACATTTGGATGGCATGCTTTGTGCGACAGTTGCGTGCCATGCATTGTGTGTTACTTGAATGTAATGTGTTATATAAGTGTTGGCCGTCATGTTTTGGTCAGACGTTTAACTATCATATGTCACAAAATCAAATCTGCTATAAATATGTCAATAAAAGTTACATTTTTTGTTAGATCCTGCGTTGTGAGACAAATTGCTAGCGCCACATGAATCTACACGTTCACAAGGTTCATAGAACGTAGTTCTACACAAGAAACAATTAGCGCCGGCGAACGACGAGGGGTTAATAGCAGAAAATAAAGAAAAATATTCTGGATTTAATCTAGTTTGACAAAATAGTGGTGGCGTAACAATACTAGTAAAAGGGGTCGTCCATAAATGACGTCACACTCGTAGGGGGGGGGGTCCGTAATTTTGTGACGGTGTGTGATGAGGGGGAGGGGGGTGGGGGGGGGGGGGGGGGTTCAGATGGTGCGACGTCACACTTTTGCATTATAAAAAAGCAATGTTAGAAAACGAATTTTAGACATTATTTCACGTTTTAGAAAACTTTTAATAAATTGTAATATGAATTGATTGAAATACTCTATTTTGACAGAGTTCAGACAAGATTAAACAATTTTAGAAAAATATTGATGTTTAAAAAAAAATTCAACTGCAATTTTGAGGGGGGTTGTAGGCTGGGGTGTGACGTCATTTTAGGGGGGGGGGGTCTGGCTTTTTGTGACGACGTGTGACGGAGGTAAAAATCATCCAAAAAAGCGTGACGTCATTTATGGATGACCCCCTAATGGAAAACACTTTATTTCATTAAATACTAACTAAAACATATTCCGAATTCTTGAGATTTAATACTTTGCATTAAATACACATGCATTTAAAAGTGCAAATCGAGAAATCAAGTTTATCAAAAGCACCCTTTCGGAACTGTTA